TGTTTTATCAATTGTATTCATTATTCAATTTGATACCTACATTATTCCATTTTGGCTAATGAAAATCCTTTGTGTTGATTCTGGTTTCTTCTTTTCATTACCTTTCAGTCTTTGATAGCTTTCTTTTTATCTGGTACAACAATATGTTTGTGTATTTTCCCACCCAAGCCTAGAAATGGATCCCAAGGTACCATCTCTTTTTACTTTTTGGTGGGGAATGGTATTTAGAGATCACAATCTGGGTACTTAGTTGTGTTCACTGCTTTTCAACTATTATTGTATCCATGTCTTTTCAGTAGGCAGATATAAGACATATGCATCTTAAAAAGAAAAGTAATAATGTCTTCATGTTAATAATCTCATGCAAATTATCTTTATTTAAATTATTTGATTTTGTATTTGAATTTCTTTTGTCCTGCAATATTCCCCAAATTACTTATTTTCATTACTTATGATATAAAATATATTCAAAATAATATTGATACTATTACTAACAATTTAAGGAATGAATTTTAAGATTTCATTGTAGCTCTATTTTTCTTGAGATTATATTCAATTTAGTCAGGACAGTTAAAAATTGGTTTTAAAGCTACTGAAAATAACTATTTACTCTGTGATTTTGTCACCAGCTTCATAGCTAAGTAGATTAATCTACTTTAAATATTTTTAAAATTTAGATATTGCTTCTCTTGACATAATTTTGTATTTGAACATGTAAAATGGTTGAGTCCAACATCAAAAATATATAATGTATTAAGGCATATTCAGGATAGTGTGATTTCTTTACTCTCCCTTCTACCATGAGGTTTTTTTCCACTAAATATAACCATTTCTATTATTTTGTTTTATTTGCCCTTACAATTATTTGTTTGAGTACAGGAGTGAAAACATAAACATATATGCCTATTTATATTTCCATTTCTCTCACTTCTTACACAAAATATAGCACACTACAACATATACTGACCATAGCTAATAATTGATCTGGAAAATCACTCCATGTCAATGTAAAATAGTATTCTATGTTCATTTTATGGCTACATAGTATTCGGAGTATTAAACTAGTCTCTTAAGAAATGTGTATTTTTCTATTTGTTTCCTACACCAGTAATATTATAATAAATAATTGTGATGTATACATGATTTCAGGTTTTAAAAATACATCTTTCAGAAAAAAAGAGACATTGCTGAAATAATAGGTATATACAAATGCAATTAAAAAAATTTACCTCCTTAGGAGTTGTATCATTTGCATCCCTATTAGTGATGTATAATTATGATTGTTTTCCTAAAACTTTGCCAATGGAGAATGTTGCTAGACTTTTTGATTTTGGCTAACTAGGATATGAGAAGTAGCATTTCAGTATAGATATAATTCACAATTCTTATGTAACAAGCAAGACAAAGCATATATTTACAAGTTTAAAGTCCATTTCTTATTTCTTTTGCAAGCTTAAGGTCATGTTTTTGTCCACTTATCTTTTAAGAAGCTGTCTGCTTCTTATGCTCTATTTTTGGGATCTTTTGTGTATTAGAGTCATTATTCTTTTCTTTGTGCTATAAATTGCAAATATATTTTCCCAATTTGTCTTTTGATTTTGCTTAATGTGATTTTGCCATTAAAAAATTATAATGTAATAAAATATCAGTCCTTTCATTGCTTCTGAAATTTAAATTATAATAGAGAAAAAAATTCCCACTTCTAGGCTATAAGGAAATCTACCCATATTTCATTCAAAACTTATATTTTTCATAAGTTATATGAAAATATTATTTTAAACTTAAAAGTTTTAAATATTGCTTCTTTTTTATTTAACTTTATATTTGAACATTAAAATGATCATGAGTTAACTGTCAAAACTGTGTAATAAGACATTCAGAACAGTGTTACTTTCTTTACTCCCACATCTAATCTGTTTTAAATTGTACTTACAGGCTAGGGATGTAGCTCAGTGGTAGAATGTGTGCTTAGCTTTCAGAGGACCTGGATTCTATTCCCCATCACTTCAAAGAAGCAAAAAGAATAAATTATATCTAAATATGTAATATCTTTTTGAAACTTTTCCTCTTTTTTTTTTTTTTGATAGTACAGGGGATTGAATCCAGGGGTGCCCTTTTTATTTTTTATTTTCAGACAGGGTCCCACTAAGTCCATCTTTCAATCCTGTTGCCTTAGCCCAATGAGTTGCTGGGATTGCACCACCATGTCAGTTAAACTTATTCTTATGCAAAAACCCCATGATCTAGTTAAGGGTAAAAATGAATATGCATTAGAATTTTTGACACTAAGGCCCTAAGTCAGATGACAGCAGAGTAGCATATTTTAAATATTTAATGAAATATGATATGAGTCAAGGATTTTATATCCAGCCAAGCTGACTTTCAAATATAAATGCTATAGACATGTTATGAGCATATAAAAATCCAGGAACTATTTCCTATAAATACTTTCTCAGGAATCTCCTAGAGAACAAACTTCAGAAATTCAAAATGACTGAAGAATCACTGGCACAAGGACTGGTTTTAAGCCACATATAAGTTCCTGTAGAACTGAGTTTAAATGATAGATAAAGGAAGAAACATTACAATATGTTTATATTAGAAAAATGACAGGGGGGATATGACAATAATAGAGTAAGTGTGTGGATTGCCTTTAGAGTAATGAATTATTTTCCTATTGCTGCTCTAACAATTACCACAAACTTAGTGACTTAAAACAACACAGATTTATTATTTTACAGTTAGGTAAGTCAGAAGTCCAAAATGGGTTAGTGGGGCTGCATTCCTTCTGGAAATTCTAGGGAAAATCTGCTTCATTGCCGTTTCCATCTTCTAGAGGCCACCTGCTTTCTTGGTTTGTAGCTGTAACACTCAAATCTCTGCTCACTGTATCTTTCTCTGGCTCTGTCTGTCTTCCCACTTACATGGATGCTTGTTATTACATTGGGTTCACCTGGTTAACTCATGATAATTGACTCATCTCATGGTCCTTAACTGAATCACATCCATAAAATCTCATTTGCCATGTAAGGGAACATATTTACAGGTTTAAAGAAATAGGATAGGGCATCTTTGGGTAGGGCATTGTTGTGCCAACTACAGTGATTAAAAACAATACATCATTATAAGGTCATGGTTAAGAGGAAAGGTAGGGAGTTGGAAAATGCAGCTAACACATTTTGATATCACTCATAGAAGAGAAGCAGTAGAGAAGGTAGAAAATGAAAAAATACAAATATATTTGTTTGTATGTATATAGAGATTTTATATATATATATGTGTGTGTGTGTGTGTGTGTGTGTGTGTGTGTGTATAGTATTCTCAATGTCAAATAACATAACACAAAAGAGGGAATAAAACAGACTTCCCAATAAAATACTACTCTCTCTCTCTCTCTCTCTCTCTCTCTCTCTCTCTCTCTCTCTCTCTCTC